AACTTTCGAAAGAAGGCGTTCTTCCTCGTGCAATGAGGTTTACCGCCATCGAAAGAAAAGCCACGTTCTTTCGATTTAATTTCGAAAGAACACGGCTGCAGTCTAGACGCAGGTGAAGTTTTTTCGAAAAAAGGCTACTTTTTTGGAAAAAACCCTTGAGTCTGGACACAGCCTTAGAGCATTACAAATAGACTAAAAGCAAATGTCTCTGAACTCTGGAAAAGTCTGGATCAACACTGGTAATGGAACTTTGTAACTCTGGCTCTAGTCTTATGCCTAGCTACTCTGTCCAGGGAAGCATCTCAGACAGGAGTAGCCTTGGAAAAGAAAGATTTCTTTTGCAGATGGTACAAAACTGCTCAAGATAGTGCAGACCAAAACAAACTGTGAAGAGCTTCAAAAAGATCTCACCAAACTAAGTGATTGGGCAACAAAATGGCAAATGAAATGTAATGTTGATAAATGTAAAGTAATGAACATTGGAAAAAATAATCCCAACTATACATATAATACAATGGGGACTAATTTAGCTACAACTACTCAGAGAGATCTTGGAGTCATTGTGGATAGTTCTCTGAAAACATCCACTCAGTGTGCAGTGGAAGTCAAAAAAGCAAATAGAATGTTAGGAATAATTTAAAAAGGGATAGAGTATAAGACAGACAATATCTTAATGCCCCTATATAAAACCACTGTATGCCCACATCTTGAATACTGAGTATAGATATGATCGCCGCCTCACAAAAAAGATATATTGGCATTGGAAAAGATTCAGAAAAGGGCAACAAAAATGATTAGGGGTTTGGAATGGGTCCCATATGAAGAGAGATTAAAAAGACTTGAATTTTTCATCTTAGAAAAGAGGAGACTAATGGGGATATGATAGAGGTCTATAAAATCATGACTGGTGTGGAAAAAGTGAATAAGGAAAATTATTTGCTTAATCCCACAATATAAGAACCACGAGTCACCAAATGAAATTAATAGGCAGCAGGTTTAAAACAACAAAAGGAAGGTTTTCTCACTTAGCGCAGTGTCAACCTCTGGAACTCCTTGCCAGAGGATGTGGTAAAGGCCAGGACTTCAATGGGGTTCAAAGAAGAGCTAGAAAAATTCATGGAGTCTCAGTCCATTAATGGCTAATTCATTGCCAGGATGGGTAGGAATGGTGTCCCTAGCCTCTGTTTCTCTGGAGGTGGGTGAAAGGGGAAGGATCACTTGAGGATTACACCTGTTGTGTTCCCTCCCTCTGGGGCACCTGGTATTGGTCACTATCAGCAGATAGGAGACTGGGCTGGATGGACCATTGGTTTAACCCAGTATGGCTGTTCTTATGTTCTAAGCTTATATAGAAAATGTCATTTATGGTCAAAGGATTAGGGGCCAGATGCTTCACTTCAGTACAGGCCCTGTTGAATCCTCTAGCATTGTGAAGGGGCCAGAAAGCTGGCCTAAACAGTTACCAGATGATTCTCACAGCACACACAGAGCCTGTGTATGATGGAGAGCTGGTTAGTGGCTCTGTAGATGTTCAATCATTTGGGGAAGAGGCCTGAACCGTGTGGGAGAATGAGCATTTTGGAGGTGAACAAACAGTGTCTCCACCACACTTGCTCTATGGGAAAGGACCTGAGGCATTTCTGGGCATTTCTATTCACCCTAGCAGTTTCTTGGTGGTGATGACTGATGGTATCAACTGCTGTGGAGGGGCCAATGAGGTAAGTATGGATGCATTTCCTTTAACTAAGGAGGACTTTTTTGGGTAATACTCCCTTTGCCAAAAGTTCACCCACATCAACAGTGGCTCAGGAGTGTGCTACCTGGTATCAAACTGCATGCTCTGCCAGGGAGTGTGAATGAACAATCCTCTTCATGCAGATACTGGTGGCAAGGGGGGGAAAGATTGTTTATAATAGTTAAAACTACAGCAAACCATATGCAACATAGTCCTTGAGACCAGGATAACCCATGGCATTGCTCAGGGAAATCGGCCCATTGCTGAGGAAGCATTAAGTACTCAGTAGATTTTAGGACTATAATCTCAGCAATAGTAAGTGAATCAAATGAAATCGGGTCATTGTTACCCTACTGAAGGCTTGGGAGTAAGTGTAACCCATTGGTCAAGTGTCTGTTATGCATCTTCATCTGTGTCTTATCCCCAGAGGATGAGGGTCTGTTACAGCCAGTAGCTATGGAGGCTAGCTCTTTAGATCAAACTGTGGAGACTCACAATGTTAGCTATGGAGGTTCCCCATTCAGTCCCCAGGGTTGGCCAGCACAGAACCAGTGACCTCAGGGAGATAGAAGAGGTGCAGACTTTACTAGGAATGCCATATAGGAACTGCCCACCAGGCAACATTTAAATAGCTACAGGTAGCAGAACTTACCAAGTGTTCTCCTCTTGCCCAGCTTTCAGAGAGATGTTTATGTTCTGGCTTGTCTCCACATGTCGCACTTCAGCTGTAAATCCCTGGAGAGGAGGAGCAGTGCCCTGTGAAAATATGGCCATCTCCAGCAGGCAAGACTCCAAGCTCCATGGTAGAATGGGGCTATGCAGACTGAACTCACATCTATCCAAGAACCTGCTGGTGTTCAGGAGGAGAATGTCCCCTGAAGGAAAGAAGAGAAGAGTAGAAGGGGAGAAGACATAAAAAAAAGAGGAAACGAGGAAAGAGGGGTTGAAAAAAGCAGTGATGAGAAAGAAGAAGAGAAGACAAGACAAAAAAAAGTGAAGAGCATAAAAAGAGGTGAAAGAAGAATTAAGTTAAAACAGCAAAAAATAAGTAGAGAACAGATCAAGAGAGAGAACAGAGAAGAAGGGAAGAAAGAAGAAAAGAAACCCAGGGGAGACAGAGAAGGAAAAAGAAGGGTGGAGACAACAGATAAAACACTGGTTAGAAACATAACACAAAAACACAAGTGAGTACACAAATATAAGGAGTCAGCTTAGTCTTGTCAATGCATTTCCTGGGAATCTCACCCTCTGTAGTTAAAAGTAGCTTCCTTTGACTCTTGTAGAAACAAAGCTAATTCACTAAGAGCCTGAAGTCAACTTCATTTCAATGGGAACAGGACTAGACTGTAAGAGCATAAAGATTATGAGCCAAATCCCAAGGTGTGATGAATATCTGGGACCCATCACTGAAGGGTGAGCATCTTCAATTCCCATTAAAGGTAAAGTTAGCTGAAAGGAGCTTGAAGTACTGCACACTTGGGCGTCTTCAAAACCTATTGGTTACACCAGGCATTGAAGTTCCCCATCTTTCTCAGGATCTGGAAGAAGCTACCTATGAAGTAGCTACATTGTGCATTGCTGATGGCAAAAGTGACTTGCCAACAACAGTGGTTCTTTGAGAGTGTTGCCTTTGCATTTCAAATGTTACAATATGTGGATTGGATAAAAATAGGCAGTGTTCAATACGTATCAAGTTTCACACTGTACATAGCAGTATGAACAATGCTGCCACACAATAAATATTCCTTACACCTACGCAATATGCTAAAGTTAATGTTTGATAAATATATGGAAAAATCAAAGCCTTTTTAATATACATATGATTCTTAGCAATGTGTTCTCTAGAGTGTAGAATGGGATTTCATAATGGCTTCATGTAAAGAGGTATAGTCTATGGAGCTTTCTGAGAAGGACAAGGAAGGATGGTCAGAGACATCTGTGTGTGGATATGTGTATACCTTTGGGAATGAACTGGAAGTTTGTCTACCTTCTATGTCTTCTCTGGATGAACTGTTCTCCTGAAGTTGATGCTGCTGCTGAAACACCAAGGAACTCACTGAAGACAGTACCCAGTCTGGTTTTCCAGAGGTGTCCATAGACGTTACCCAGGAGCAGATGGACCCATAGATACAAAAAGTTTCTGGGATGAGAAATAGAAACATAAATTTCCATTGGTGTCCCACCTGGCCCCAGGGAAGATGTCAATCCAGGATGTTAATGAGCAGATCGAAATTCATAGGTTCATTCATACATTCTAAGGCCATAAGTAACTATTATGACCTTATAGTCTGATCTCTTGTATGACACAGGCCAGAGAACGTCCCTGAAGTAGTTCCTAGGACATATCATAGAAAAACTACCTTAATTTAAAAATGGCAAATAAATGGAGAATCCACTTGACCTACAGTAAATTATTCCAACGGTTGATTACTTCCACTGTTAAAAATGTATGCCTTATTTCTGGTCTGAATTTGTGTAGCTTATTCTTCTAGCCATTGGATCATGTTATACCAGGGCTACTCCAACTTTGGAAGCCCCGGGGGCCACAGTGACAGTCTCAGCACATGCCGAAGGCCACAACTTAAGTGTGGTTGCCTATACATGCAAATATGTAAATAGCTTCTTTCACACTGGCTGGCATGAATACAAAGATTAAGGCAAGACTACACAACATACAGGGCCGATTTAAGTTAGTTCTGCTGATATTAATAAAATGCAATATTTACCCAGTTTCCACCCACATGACAGCACTTTTAATGAGCAATGACAGTCCAGGAATTTAACTACTAAAACACATATCAACGGAAGACCATTATATTGGCTACTTTTTTGTTTTGGCTCCCACCCGTGGGCTGCAAACAAATGGGCCTCATGCTGAGAAGCCCTGTGTTATACCTTCCTCTACTAGACTGAAAAATTTGTTATAAAATATTTGTTCCCCATGAAGGTATTTATAGAATGTAATCAAGTCACTGCTTAACTTTCTCTTTGTGAATCTAAATAGACTGATCCTCAAAGTTTTGTTGGCTTCTAATTCATTTAAATCAATGGACCGTAGGTGCCTAAATACCATCGAGGATCTATTGCCCATTTGTTTTTGACAATATTCAGGCCTTGCAAATGTGAATAGCACCCTATACTCTATTTCCCAGTGAGTGACCCAGTCCTAGGAAAGAAAGACAATAGGTAGCAGTCCCTGGGGAGAAAATTAAGGTTGGGGAAGTAACAGGGCTAGTCTTATGGATTGTATGTGGAGGGTGGGCAACAGAGCAGGGTAAAATTCATGTTGGTTTGGTACCTTAATGTGAACATCTTCTAACTTACAGGTCTAATGTGTTTAGCTCCTCCTCATACAGAGGCCACCAATGCCCTTTGATCAGTTTTGCTGCCTTTCTCTAAATCTTTTCCAATTCCATTACACCCCATTATACCCTTTTTGAGATGGGGTGTAATGGTTTTGTCAACAAAACCCTGTAGTCTAGACACACCCCCAATGACTAAAAAGAGAAATAACAATTTCTCTTTTTTCCCCCCTTACCAGCCAAAAGAAGATGTATCTTGATTAATGTATAGGATTATCAGCTTTGTTTGTTGATATTTGCCAACCATGTCCCTCTATCCATAGCTTTGTTAAGCAAACTTATATACACAGGTAAGGTAAGCAAACTATCTTCTTTGAAAGAAATTCATATGGCAAGTGACTTATGCAAGCCGGGAACAAGTTTACTGATTTAAAAAAAAATGCAAAGCTGTTTTTGATATATACAATCGATGAATGTTTTATTAATTATGACACACCCAATTCAAATCTTTTTTTGGTGGACAACCAGCTGGATGTGAATTTTGTTGAAAGGATGCACTAGTGAAATATTTCTGTGTGTGTGTGTTACATACTGCAGGGTAGGAAAGGAGAGTGAATAAACCAAAGATGAATTATTGTAATGTTATAGGAATAAAAATATGGTTCCTTTTAAGGCAGAAGAAGTCCAGTTTTCTCTATAATTGCCAAATACTGCTTATCTTCTGTGAGGGATCTCATGACAAGAGTGTTTCTCCACTGTCCTTCTCTCACTTGCTTTCCATGACATAGGGATTTGGTACAATGGGGAGGGAATGGCAGCTAATTTTTCACTTTCTTGTAGGCATTTCACATCCTGGAATGGTCCCAAGAACTACTGAATGCACAAGGAACATATGCAAAAAGCCCGAAGGAAAACAATTTAAAATAGAAGGAGAAATACTGAAAAATTGCCCCAGTCACCACAAAAGGAAATTTCAGTTGCCATGGAATTGCTATGAAGAAACACACACCCTAGGATTCCAGCCAACACGGACACAACACTTCAGGGAGGAATTTCACATTCTAATATTCCTAGATGACACTGACAGAGTACTGCCACAAGGAAGTTCTCACCGCAAAAAGCCAACTCCTAGCTGGCTCACTGGCACTAGTGCATAAAAGAATAACTTATCGGGTATGTCTACAATAACAACCTACTTATCCTGATCTATCTGAAAATACCTCGTGAAAATGCCCTTTGCTCTTTCCTCTAGCAGAGCTAAGGTGGGAGTGCCAACAAGAAAAAGGTAAGTACCTAAAACCTTGTGGGTATTGAACTGTGTGCACTTTCCACACCATATGTTCAGAATCCTCCAAGAGTACCACAGCTTTGTAGAGTTATCTACCTTTCTAGCAGTGGTTGGCTCATTTTCTGAGCCCTTCACAAACCTGGGCACTCGTTCAACTACTACAGGAAGTCCAGTTCATCCTATCTTCCTTGCAGCTACCTGCTCAGTCCTGTTGGTTTTTTTGCAGACTATTGGAGAAAATTTCCTTTGAAAATAACTTCACTTTGTATTACTGCCATAGGGTTTATTTTTAGCTGCTGAGGAAACAGCTTCATTAATTAGCATTTGCTTCAGGAACTCCCCATATTCAGCACTGATTTTTTTTCAGTCTGATGAAGAAAATGTTTTTGTTAGGATTCTCCCTCTCCCCACAACTCCCCATCTCATGGAGAAAGTCTCTTAAGGCTACCTTAGCATGTTTGAGTCCATTCCATCTATCCTATGAAAGCCAGGAGCATTGCCTTTCTGACAACAACACACACACCTCGAGATGGAAGGCTTCAGATTATCAAGGAGGGAAACTTATCTTTGTTCTGCACGGGTCCTGCTTAAGAGATAGGACGGACTAAAAGGACAGGAGTTGTAGTACCTGGATTGGGAGATTGATCAGATGACACCATCACATTTTTGCCTGTCGACAGCCTGAGAGGGGGACTCAATAAAGAAGGGTTCTTCTCATATAATCCAGAGCAGGACACAGCAACTGTAACAAAACAATAAAGAGGGGAATGTTTAATGTTTAAAATGGATTAAAATTCTTAAGGCTCCTATTACATTACAATAAAACATCCACCAGCATAACACATGTTAGTGCAGTATTTTGCACCAAAATTGTCCCACATTCTATGGTTGTAATATAATGCTCCTCCAACAATGTCCTCATTATGCAGCATGGCTCCCAGAGATACACGCATGTTAGCAACATAATTCACCTAATGATGCCATTTTATTACATATATATTCTGCCCAGCTTTATTCTTCTTACTGCAAACACACCCTCCAGAGATGCACTCACTATAACAATATATCCCCAAAATGCCCATGCAACAGCAATATACTCTTCCAATGATACCCTCTGTAGAGTGTAGCCATGTATCTGCTTATGGATCTTGTGGGTGTGTTTCTACACACAGGAGAATTGCATAATTTTAGAAGTGGTTGGAAATGAGGAGGTGAAGGCAACGCCATCTGACCCATCAGCAGTCACCAATTATGAGTGAATGCTTTACAGTTCACAGTCTAAGACCCAGTGTTCTAAAACGTTATAAAATAGTTTTACTCATATATGTGGCCTACATGTTATAAAGATGTTATGAGTTACTCAGGCACGAGCAATGGCCTTTCTAAACTCATGCTGATAAAACCTTTATGCCACTGTACAAATCCAAGGAGTCTTTATTGCCTTTCACAAAGGCTGAGCTTTTTCACAGGTACCAAAAGCAAACGATGTGCCTGTACTTTCCAGATGCTGGTTTTTACTTATGTTCTAGGTGCTGGTGCTCTCCTTTCTCTAATGAAAATGGTGTTATATTTATTCATATTAGTAATTCCCTTATATAATATCTATCCACTTCAGTAATGACTCTGTCTTTCACTCATTGCTAGGATTGCATGTTTTACGGACATCAAATTTTAAGCAGATTTTTGGGATAGGTTTTAGTAATTTTGGTGAAAAGATCAAGTCTTAGAAAGTGTCGAAGGAATTATTCTGTACCCTGAATAACCTCCATTCACCTACACTTTAGAGGAAATTACAAGAACTACCTGGTAAAAATGATCACTTTTCAGAAGAGGTGTTCTACCAGATCAAATTATTGTCACACTAGAAATGACCCTTTGTCTCCATCATCCACCAGGAAGTGCTTTGCAGTCCATAGTACAACACATTTTGACTGAGAGTAGAAATCTTCATTTATATCCTCATCAGCATCCATTGTTGGCCCACAGGTGCTCACAATAGTTACCTGTTAGTTTTTGGTGATCCTCAATCAGAGTGTCATAAGCTGCTCATTGATGCCTACTGGCTGCTCAGAAAGGCATCCTACGAGCTTGTTCTTTATAGCAAAGCCTTACCATTTTATTAAAAAACCATTTTATCAGAGACCCCTAAAGAAGATAAGATCATTCCTCTGGGGGATTTCAATGCACTCACTGAACAAGACTCAGACCTGTGTAAAGGAACAATCAGGAAAGAAGGAGCTGGCAAAAGCAACTCAAATGGAATCCTGCTCCTGACGAAGTGTGCTGAACATGAACTTATCATCATGAACACCCTTTCTTGACAAAAAGACAAGTTCAAAATATCTTGGAGATACTCACGTTCAAAGCACTGGCATATTCTCAACTATGGCATAGTTCATGCTCGAGATCTCAGTGACTCACGTCTCACAAGAGCAATGACAAGCACTGATGACTGCTGGACTGATCATCGCCTCATTTGATTCACAATGAAATTTAAGATAGCCCACAAATGGAGGCTGCAAAAGAAGCAGATCAGGTGCAAGCTGAAGATTCAAGATCTGAAGGACCCCATTAAGCATGACCACTTCCAAGCAGTCTTAAAAGAAATGCTTCTATCAGAGCATCAGGAAGAAATTGAAGAGCATTGGACCCAGCTGAAAGCACAATCATCAATACCTCTGGGGAAACTATAGGCTACCATAACAGAAAGCATCAGGACTGGTTTGATGAGAATGATGATGAAATCGAGCAACTCATCAATGAGAAAAGAATGGCATTCTGTGCTTGGCAGAATGATATAAATTGCCATACATGCTGCCTTTGCCTTAGAAGTCCAACATAAAACCAGAGAACTCAAGAATAAATGGTTTACTGAGAAAGTGCAAGAATTCCAACATTTCATGGACATCTATAATACATGTGGTTTCTTTAGTACCATTAAGGCTGTTTATGGGCCAGCTTGTCATGGCATAAATCCCCTTCACTCTAAGGATGGAACTACACTTCTGAAGGACAAGGAAGCCATTCATTTTCACTGGAAAAAACATTTTGAAAATCTTCTTAATTGCAATTCCTTGGTCACAGATGAAGTTCTTGAGCAAATTCCCCAATAACCTTCTAGGGATGAGCTTGGAGACCCTCCGAATTTGCATGAGGTATACAATGCCATCAAGCCGATGAAGAACCACAATGCAGCAGATCCAGAAGGGATCCTCACTGAAATCTTTAAAGATGGTGGAACAGAGTTAATTCGGCAGTTTTGCCTGCTAATCCTTAAAATCTGGATAAAGGAGGAGATACCCAGTGAAATGAAGGGCACCTTAATTGTAAGCCTCTTTAAGGAAGAGGATAAAGTGGACTGTATAATCTCTCTCCTTGCTGTTGCAGGAAAAGTTCTGGCTTGGGTCCTTGCAACCTGTCTTCTGCCCTGTCAGAAGAAATTTTACTAGAGTCAAAAGCGGCTTCCAACCATGTCATGGAACTGCGGATATGACCTTCACTGCACGGCAGCTGCAAGAAAAGTGTTGAGAGCAAAACTGACCACTGTACATGGCTTTTATTGATCTAACTGAAATCTTTGACTCAGTAAATCACCATGCCTTTTGGACTGCACTTTCAAAGATTGGATTTCCTGATAAGTACATCAGTGCCCTAAAATTGCTTCATGACAACATGAAAGTGACTGTTTTGAGGAGCACTGGTTCCCAGAGTGAACCTTTCAAAGTACAAACAGGAGTCAAACAGGGCTATATCATTGCCCCATCCATGTTTGTGGTCTTTATTGCCATCATTTTCTACCTAATTGCTGGGAAGCTCCAGCTGGTGTTGAAATCATTTAGAGAATGGATGGAAAGCTGTTTAGGCTTAGCAGGCTGAAAGCTAAGAGTAAGATTTCCACCTCATCTATCATGGAACTTCAGTATGCTAATGACAATGCAGTTTTTGCCCACTCCGAGAAAGATCTTCAACCTATCTTGAATGTGTTTGCTGATGCTTATGAAAGTCTTGGTCTCACCCTCAAAGTCAAGAAGGCCAAAGTGCTCCATTAGTCCTCTCCAAATGAGGTACCATATGCCCCATCTATTAAAATCAACAGAGAGGCACTGAAGAATGTTGATCATTTGCTCTACTTTGGAAGTTATCTTTCATCCAGGGCAGACATTGATGTGGAAATCCAGCATCGTCTGAGTTATGCCAGTACAGCCTTTGCTTGTTTATGGCATAGGGTTTTTGAAGATTATGACATTCAAACAGACACCAAACTTCTTGTCTATCAAGTCATCATTCTCCCAACACTATTGTATGGGTCTGAAACCTGGACAACCCACAGACATCAATTGAAAGTCCTTGAGAGGTATAATCAATGCTGCCTTGCAAGATCTTGAAGATCAAATAAGAAGGCAGGTGCACTAACATCAGTGTTCTGGAAAAGGCAAAGAACACCAGTATCAAGACAATGATCATCCATCAGCAACTTCTCTGGTCTGGTCACATTGTTTGGATGCCAGACCACCACCTCCCAAAACAGGTCCTGTTTTCTCAGCTGAAAGAAGGATACTCTCAGGGGCAGATATAGGGCAGGGTGAGTGGGGCGGCCGCCCCGGGCCCCGTGCTTCAAGAAGCCCTGCGCATGCACCGTGTCAAAGGGGGGGCCCTGCAAAATTGTGCTGCTCTGGGCCCCGCAAAATCGTCATCTGCCCCTCGATACTCTTTACTGTAACATGGGAGGACAACAGAAGTGTTATAAGGTCTTCGTAAAGGATAATTTAAAGAAGTGCAACACTGACGTTGACACCTGGGAGAGACACGCCCAGGATCACTCCAAATAGAGATAGCAATAAGTCTATCAGGTCAGTTGCTTCATACGAGCGTAAACTAATTTTCTGCATCGAGCCTGATTTCTCATGAGAGACTCAGTGATGGCAGATTGTCATGGCTCATTTTGAGAAGAAGTGGAGGAATATTGAGAAAACTATCAAAACCCAGATCTAGCCTGCAGCGATCAAGTTTGTATTGTAAACCAAATTAGAAAGTCTTTGTATCAAGTAAGATCTCAAGACCCCTGGGGAATAGACTGCCAGCTTGTGTTCTGTGTCCTTTGAGCTGCTGAATTGTTGTTGTTGACCTTCTGCCTTGATCTCTCTTAATTATGGCTGCAGCTGAGAATTTACTTCCTTCAGGGTTTGACTGTTACAAAATAAGATTCTCAGGCATGTCTGTCACATTCACTCACATGCCCAGATCCTAAAATACACCTCTTCCGTATTGATTGGTTTGACATGATTTGTTCTTTACAAATCCAGGCTGGCTGTTACCTATCACCTTATCCTCTTCCAGATGTTTGTAGATGGATTCCTTAATTACTTGCTCCATTATCTTACCTGACACAGAATTAAACTGACTGGACTGTAGTTTCCTGGGTTGCTGTTCTTATTCCCCTTTTTAGATGGGCACTATATTTGCCCTTTTTCAATCTTCTGAAATCTCTCCCAACTTCCATGACTTTTCAAAGATGATAGCTAAAGGCTAAGATGCCTGCTCTATCATCTCCTTCAGTATTCTAGGATGCATTTCATCACGGTCCTGGTGACTTGCAGACATCTAACTTTTCTAAGTAATTTTTAACTTGTTCTTTTTTTATTTTAACTTCTAAACCTACCCCATTTCCACTAGCATTCACTATGTTAGGCATCCCATCACCATCAAACTCATATGATCTCATTGAGATGCACAATCAGGGCC